TTCGGCTACCCCGGATCACTCTCCGTCCTCCAAGTCCATGACTCTGCACATGACGATGCTTTCATCGTCCGGATGTCCTTCCTGCCTCTTCTCCCACCTGCAGAAGAGCTCATCCTTAAGACTTGGTGAATCAGACTGGAATTAGAATTAAGTGAGAATTTTCTTTGTATTGCACCCCAGCCTGGCCTGATAATTACTTCTGCTATCACAAGGTTTTTCTGTGGATTTCCTATGTTATTCAGGTAGATGCTTCTTTGCTCATTTTATTTATGTAACAGATGACCTTTCTGCCATTTCTTTAAACATTAAATTGAAGAAAGGATGCAGAACTAAAAAAAAAAAAAACTTGGTAAAAAATGTCACTATGAAAATGAAAGAAATTATACATGCCACATTGGCTAAAGGGGCTCACTGACCAAGTCAAGCCTGGTGCCAAGGAGGAGAGAAACTGAAAAAAAGTAAGAAAAACAGTAATTTAAAATATCTAATATAATAAAAGAGAAACATGCAAATTGACCGTACCTCTGCTACACCCACAAGCCAATCAGGGGCAAATATGCAAATTAACCCAACTAAGATGGCGGCAGCCACGGAGCTGGAGCTAGCAGGAGGCTTAGGTTGCCCCCAGTGATGGAGGAAGCCAAGCTTCCTGACTGCCCTGAGGCCCTGAGCTCCACTCAAGGCTACAAAGTTTCAATTATAGAAGATAAATAAATCTCAGATACCTGCTTCCAGCCGCGGCTGTGGCCAGCCTGAAAACAGCCATCAGCCTCTCACCCAGGCTGGCCAGGCACCCCAGTAGGGCCCCCCACCCTGAAGGGGCTGTAGGCAGCCTGAAAACAGCCTTTAGCCCCTCACCCAGGCTGGCCAGGCACCCCAGTGGGGACCCCTACCTTGAAGGGGGTGTGATCAGCCTGCAAACAGCCCTCAGCCTCTCACCCAGGCTGGCCAGGCACCCATTGGGGACCCCCACCCTGAAGGGGGTGTGACCAGCCGGAAACGGCCATCAGCCTCTCACCCAGGCTGCCAGGCACCCCAGTGGGACCCTCCCACCCTGAAGGGGCTGTGCCCAGCCTGCAAACAGCCATCAGCCCCTCACCCAGGCTGGCCAGGCACCCCAGCAGGACCTCCACCCTGATCCAGGACAACCTTCAAGGCAAACCAGCCGGCCCCCAATCCATGCACTAGGCCTCTATCCTATATAATAAAAGGGTAATATGCAAATTGACCCTAACAGCAGAATGACTGGTCACTATGACACACACTGACCACCAGGGGGCAGACGCTCAATGCAGGAGCTGCCCCCTGGTGGTCAGTGCGTTCCCACAAGGGGAGCTCTGCTAAGCCACAAGCCAGGCTGACGGCTGCCAGTACAGCGGTGGTGGTGGGAGCTTCTCCCGCCTCCTCAGCAGTGCTAAGGATGTCCAACTGCAGCTTAGGCCTGCTCCCCACTGACAAGTGGACATCCCCCAAGGGCTCCCGGGCTGCCAGAGGGATGTCTGACTGCCAGCTTAGGCCCGATCCCCTGGGAGAGTGGGCCTAAGCCAGCAGGTGGACATCCCCTGAGGGGTCCCAAACTTCGAGACGGCACAGGCTGGGCTGAGGGACCCCCCCCTCCTGAGTGCACAAATTTTTTGTGCACTGGGCCTCTAGTATTTAAATAAACAATAGCAAAGAAAAAATGGAGAAGGGAAAATTTAATATTGAGATGGAGAGGATTTCCTAATCAAGAAAACTTGAAGCCACCAAAAAAAAAAAATCAATATAGACTTAACCACCTAAAAGTTAAATACTCCTGCATAAAGGTACAATAAACAAAGATGGAGAAAACACAAAAGGCAAGATATTTGACTTACTAACAAGAAAAGAATTAAACTCCAGAATTTCGTAAGAGCCTCACAAATTGATGGAATCACAGACAATTCAATGAAAAACTGGAGGAAAACTTGATAGTACAACTGAGTCAGAAAGTCAGTCCTTCCACCAAATTCCAGAGAGAGCGAGCAGCTACCTCCAGTTTTGCTGAGGGTTTTCTGTGGTTGTTGTTCTAAAAGAAAAACATCGGAAGAGAAAACACCGCTTCTCACCTCAGGTGTGTTTGTGTCTCACAGGACAGCAATGCCTCCTAAGGGCTAATGCAGAGGGTGCAAGCTGGCAGTCTGCACGTTATGAAAAACGTTTTGAATTAATTGTCATCTTTAAAAAACGTGGAGCTTTTTCCCCCATAAAAAATGTACAGCTCCCACCCTAGCCAGTTTGGCTCAGTGGATAGAGCATCAGCCTGCTCTATCTGAAGGGTCCCAGGTTCGATTCCGGTCAAGGGCACCTGCCTAGGTTGCTGGCTTGATTCCCAGTGGGGGGGGGCGTCCAGGAGGCAGCTGATAAATGATTCTCGCCCATCATTGATGTTACTCTCTCTCTCTCCCTCTCCATTCCTCTATGAAATCAATAAAAATCTATTTTAAAATATAAGCTCCCCCTGAGGGCAGGCAACACTGTGCTGGAGCCTTGTGGCACCTGCACCTGCCCCCGTCCCTTTACGGGAAGGCATGTCCCCGCCCCCCCATCCCCCCCTCCCCACCACACACACACACACACACACACACAGCCTCCTCCTGCAGGCAGCCTCCTGACCAGCCCCAGCCAGCACGGAGTTTACACTACACAGAACCGAACTTCCTTCGGCTGACATTTAGGCGTTTCAGTTCAGCCCATTTCTGCCTTCCTCAAACCCAACGAGCTCAGCCCCTCCGACCACACAGCCCCCTTCGTCTCTCAGACCCCCGCTGCACAGGGTGGCAACAAAAGGGGAGGACTTGAGGCCTAGGATTTCGCTTCTAAAACGCTCAGCAGGCCTCTATATGAGGGGCCTAATCTCCCTGCCGGGCGGTGGAGCAGGACAGGGACCGGTCCTGAGTCCAGGGCCCCACCTGTGATGGAGCCACGTCAGAAGACCCGACTTCCATGTTGGCTCCCAATCTGCTGGACAGAGAATTTCATCTCTCCAGGCTCAGGGTCCTGCCTACACTGTAACAAGGCTACACCCTCCACAGGGCTGTCAGGTGAAGGAAACAACCAAGTGTATGAAAGTGCTTGGAAGCATCTTCAAGTATAAAATAAGAGGGGTGTGGCCTAGGACAGAGAGGGGTGCTCTGGAGGAAGTGCCCACAGGGGTGGCGGGAATCCCAGGTAAAGAGAGTTGGGTGAAGAGTCTGGACTGTGCGGACTCGGTCCCTCCCACCCCTCCTCCTGCTTCCGGCCTCTCCCCACCTGTCTCATCGGGGGGCTGCAGGGAGGTGACTCTCTGGGATGCTAAGCTCTCCCAGGATTGTCCAGGTCCAGGTCGCAGGGGAGGAGGCCGGCTGGATGGGAGGAGGCGCTGTGCGGCCGGTCCTCCCAGCCTCCAGCTCGCGGACACCCGCTGGCCCGGACACCGGCCCCGGACACCGGCCGGCCCACATAACGTACCCTTATCCCCACTGAACTCATCCAGGAATCGAGGTCCTTTCCCTCCAAAGCCACACCACCTCCGTCAAATGATCTGATCTTGAAAGCACTTCCCCAAACTGATCAAAGGTACAAGCACAGCCCAGAGCTGTGGCCCCAAGTGCTGCCAGCGCCCGGCTGGGCTGCGTGGTGGCTGGAGCGCAGAAGTCGCAGAAGCACACCGGACGGCCCGGCCCCCCCGCGGGCTCTCACCCCGCGGGCCTTTGCCAAAGGTGGCAGGGGGTAAGCTCTGACCCAGGGGGAGCAGCAGGCCGGCCAGGCCCCCCAAAGCTGGCCGGCTCTCCCTCTCGATCGGAGGGGCGGAGGCGCCACCCCGCGGCGCCAAGGCAGCCGGCGACTTCTGGGCGCGCCCCCCGCCAGGCGTGGCGAGACAGCGCCCTGAACCCCGCGGAGGATGCTGCTGACCTGGTCCTCGCGGCTCCAGCGCAGGGCGAGGCCGCTCTGCCCCCCACGCCTGTCCCCGAGCGGGGGCCTGAGCCCCTCGGGCCTGGGGGCGCAACGGACCCCCAATGAGCCGGGTCCCGGGCACGCACCGCCGTCCTCCCTCTCCGGGGGTCCTGGCAGCGGCTTCCGCGGCGCCGGAGACGCGGGCGAGGCTGCAAACAGGAGGGGCCAACTGGGCAGCCCTGGCTGGCCGGGAGGAGCGCGCCCCCCCAGATCCTCCCACAAAGAATTCGGCTTCCCCACCGCC